TGGGGTGGGGAGTGGCTGCTAAATGTGGGTGGGGGTATTTGGGGATGATAGACATGGTCTAGAATTTTAAGGTGAAGATTATGTGATTCTGTGAATATATTAAATTCCATCGAGTTGTTCACCTTCAGGTGGTAAAGTGAAGAGCTGGGTGGGGATGCATACCTGCCGTCCCAGCACTCCAAAGGCTGAGGTAGGAGGTTGGTGAATTTGAGCCCAGCCTGAACTACATATCCTGCTGTGGTCCTGTCTCAAACAATCAAAAAAGAAAAAGTTAAGTGGTTAGTTACTAAACAACAGAGCTGGCTCCTGGGAGGACAGACTCAAAGTCACCTAGAGGTCAAATGGGCTGGATGTGTGGGGAAGGAGCCAAGTACTGGCCCGAAGGTCTCATGATGCCCCCTGATAAGGTGCAGCCAGGTGGGTTCCCACTTGCCAATCCCTCAGGCTGGCTGCTGGACCCAAGGGTGCAGGCTCTGGAGGCTCTCTCTTGAGTCTTGAGGTATGTGACCTCCTGCCTGCCTGGCCCAGTATCCCAGCCTGGCTTGGGGTGAGGAACACTGGGACAGAGCTCTCAGTCCCTCTCCTGTCAGGTGGGTGTACAGGTTCCCTGAAGACTGGAGCTCATGCCCTCTGGGATCCTGGCAGCTGCCAGTGGGGCTCAATGAGTGCTCAGAGCACAGGAGGGCTTCGAGGCTGGGGTCAGGTACCCCAGCAGTTAGCACGGGAGCCAGCTCCACACCACTGCCCTGGGCAGTTAGCACTGGCACTGCAGGGTGGGAGTCAGGCTGTCAGCCCATGGGCAACCCACCTCTGTCCCAGCCTTGCCCAGCCCTGGCCTTGTCTCCTGCTGGGGTCGTGGAGCCGTATCTCATTGCTGGTATAGGGGCCAGCGCCCTGGATGCTGGGCTCCTGTGCCAGCAGACTGTGAGTGGGATATGGAGTGTCCCGTGTGGCTGCAGGCACAGCTGGCCATGTTGACTGGATGCTCCTCGTGTGTCACCACATCCCAGGAATTGCAGGGGGCACATCTGTGACTGCATGTACGTCTGTGTCCTTGTGTGTGGCTGTGTGCACACATGCTGTAGGCATGTTGTGTGCATGCCTTTGCACATGCATATGTGTACATGTCTGTGTTGCTAACATGTTAGGTATGTGAGTGCTGTGGTTTGGCTGGGCCTGGGCCTCCCAGCTCCTCCCGCTCTCCGCTGGGGGTGGGGGGCAGTTTCCACATGGGCTGATTTTTCTCTCCTAAGCTCCAAATGTGTCTTCTCAAGATTGCACGCTTAGATCCTGAAATCTTCAAAGATGAGGCCTGGCGGGAAACATAAGCTGACTCACCAGCCAAGGCTGACCTTTGTGCAGCTGAAGAGCAGGGCGCGCCCTTGTTCCCTGGGGGCCTGTGTGTTTTTAGACTTTTGTCCCAAATGACACATTGCCTGTAATACCCACATGTGTCCCCAGGGCTCTCCTCCCTCTGCTCCCAGACTCCTAAATGTTCAGGTGGCTGAAGCTTCCAGCTTGAGCTGTCTGAGCCCCATGTCACCGCCAGGGTCCTGCCTAACCTGGTGGCAGGGCTGAGGCTGACTCACCACTCTGGGTGTACCGGGGGCTTCCTTTCTTCCCTGCTCTCCCAGGCAGCACTCTGGGGTGGGGCCACCTGCTGCTGGTCACCCTGTTGGCTCTCAGCGCCCTGGCAGCCCATCAGAGGACAGCTCTCCACACCATTTCCCTTGGCTCGCTTTCTGTTTGCTTTGGCACAGCTGCACCTTACCTCCCAATTTGAACCCGGTTTTTCAAGTTTTAGACCCACCTGTGCTGTGGCCCCAGGGCCCCGTGGGTTGGTTGTGTGTGCATCAGGTGTGGCCAGTTAGAAAGGCCAGTTATCCCTGCAACCCTCAGCAGCATGGGCCTGGGAGGGCCTAGTGGGAAAAGTTGAGAGGCCTCAGAGTCCGCTGATGGGACCTGGGCCTGTTGTCCCTGGTATCTCTCTCAACACACACTCCTGCCGGCCCGTCTCCCAGGATCTGGCTGCTCATCTGGCAGAATGGCCGGTGACTCTCCACACCGATTCTGGGATGCTTAGAACAGAAGGCTCGGGGGTGCTATCCCTCCTGCCAGCAAGGTGCGGGTGGCACTGCAGGGGTTAAGTGCCGTGGCTGTGCACGCTCAGGCTGCACGTGCACACCGCTTCCTGCAGCTGCTGGTAAAATGCAGCTTAAAAATTCACTTGTGTGGGCTGATTCTGCGCAGCACCAGTTTGCAGCTCAGGGCTGCGTGCAAGCCCAGGTCTCTGCAGCGTTGCCTCGGCGTCCCCTGCATGTGCACCTGCCACGTGGCATGGGGCTCTGGGGACAGGACAGTAGGCTAGGGTCTGGGTCTGAGTGTTTCCATAGCCCAGGTAAAATGGTGACAACTGTCCCCACTGGGCCTCTGACACTTGTACCTGACAAGAATCTTGGCAGAAGCTTGATAAACCCTTACAGGTTTTCTACAGGATTTGCTGTTGGACAAGACCATATTCCATGTCATGTCTCCCCCCACATCCCAGTATTGAGGATTGAGCTTAGGGCTTTCCTAAGCAGCATCCCCCATACCTACCCATTTTTCTTTTTCTTTTTTTTTTTTTTTGGTTGGGAACGAGATAGGATCTTGCTAAAATTGCTCAGGCTGGGCCCAGACTTGCAGTCCTGTGCTTCCTGCAGGATTGAATTGGTTCTTCTTAAGTGTTTTCTTGAGTTTGTGTTCAAGAGAATGTGTGTTTTCTATTTGATGTTGACTATAATTCCGAGACTTAAAGAATGTGGTGAGCCCCGTGGGCACCACATAATAGACATCCAGCAGAGAGAATGTGATTTGTCATAGTCACTGCAGTCCCTTGCTTCACCTTTTGATTGCTTCTCTTGAGGGGGAACAGAGCAGCAGTCTTGAGAAGCCTTGGTGTGGGTGATATCCCAAGGGTGAGCAGGCCGCAGGGCTGAGGAATAGAGCAGGTTCCCTAACTAGGCCAGATCTTGTGCCCGTCATGATCACCTGGTGCCCTCTGGCCTTGGTTGTTGAAGCCAGTTCCTGAATTTCTGTGGGGCCCTGAGAGTTAGCAGGTAGACCCAAGACCTCCTATGTCACAGGAACACAAACCAAACCCAGAATATGCTTTTCCCTGTCCTGGGGAATCTGTAGAAAGCTAGGAGACAAAGGGACATATGGGGGCTGCCAGTGTGGCCTTGTGTGTTCCGATAGGAGCTGAACCTTCCCTCTGAGAGTCTGTATCTGCAGCCCCACTATCCCTGTCACCACCATCTCTACTCCAGCCCCTGGGCCGGCCTGAGTGGTCCCAAAGCTTCCCTTCAACCCGGATGAGGACCGGGCTGTGTCATGCTACCTTTTGTTTCATTGTCTCCAGCCCTTGTCCTGAGGACCATGTAGCCCACAGGTCAGAGTTTAGCTCATGGCCTCTCCTGCCTTAGGCTCTCCTCCTGCCTTCATCCTGTGGTTCTTCATGGCCTCCAAGCATTACTAGTCATGTTGCTACAGTTCCTGGAGGGCACGCTGCACTCTCATCCCAGGGCACGCAGCAGTGTCTGGGCCCATCATCACCTGGCTGCCAGATGGGCAGAGCCTATGCCAAGTCTCCATGGCCTCCACAGAGATGCATGGTGTGCTGTGGAGCTGGGGAGATGCAAGTTTAGTTGAATGAGGTGTAGGTACCACTGAAAATAGCGTTCCCGCCAGGAGGGCTGGGCTGGCTCGGTGGAACCCAGGTCGGCCGTGGAAGCTGAGCAGGGCTGAGTCCTGGCTCTGGCCACTGGACAGCTCTGCTTGCTCACTGGATGCAAGGGTGCTGGTGCGCCTGGTTTGTGCTGATCAGGAAAGGTGACCATCAAGCGCCTGGTTCTTGGTCCGTGCCCAGTGTCCCTGTGGCCATGAGAGTTGAGGCAGCTGTAGAGGAGCTGGCCTTCCTGGAACCCAGAAAAACTCCCAGGAGGGGTAGAGACACTTGGGGCCAGCCAGCTGCTTTCCTGGGGGAAGTGTCATCTAGATAAGGCTTCCTCCAGGGCTCTTAGGGAACTTGTTCTGGTTTCTGTGGACCTTGGTAAGCACCAGGGGCTCCTCAGTAACTGCCCTGCCTGCTTACGTCTGGAGCAGAGCCTTGGACCATATACCCTGGAGTGTTCAGATATGAAAAGAAAGACAAGCCCTTCAGGCAGGACTCAGAGGCAGGGCTTACTAGAAAATGACCCACACTCCAGACAGGAATGGGCCCTCCTGTTTGTGTTCAAGGCACATGGTCACTCAGCAAATGCTCGCCTGGACTCCTCTAGCTGCCCTGTCTGCAGATAAGGCCACTAGGCCATTTGCCTAAGCGGCAGGTGGTCCTGAGAGTCTCAGGGACAGAGGCAGGTGCCCACTCCCTGCTGGGAGCCTCAGTTCCATGGGCACTGATTTTGGGGTGGAGCTCTGATGACTCACTGTCCAGCTGAGAAGGAAGAAGTATCCTAAGCCTGTCATCCCTGAGGCGTCACCTTTGCTGGTTGTTTCCTGTCCTCTGTGTCCCTGAGGCCTCTCCCCTGCTGTTTTCTCTGTCCCCAAGGCCTCTCCATCTGGTCTTCTCTGTATCCCCTGCCCTGACAGAAGTGGAAGTGAGTGGAATGAAGTGAGCCCACATTGGGTGGGTGGTTGTTGGCACCTGCATGTGTGTGCCCTCTGTGATGCCTGGGAGGAGGCGCATAATAGTTCTCTCTGTCCTGAGACCCTTTTCATTCTAGAACTTTGTTCCTCTTCCGATCTCTTCCCACTCACTCCCCATCTGTTTGGCCTTGGCCCCTGGGAGCCTGTGGGGTCCCAGGCAGCCTGCAGCAACTTGCTGAGCAGAACCTCCTGTCACTCCCAGTCCATGGGCCCCTAAGATGGCCTGCTGGTATCCTGCTCAGCCCCAGGGTATGGGGGACAGGTGGCAATTTACTGTGTGTAACTGTTTTCTTTCTTGCTGTCTTGCCTCCTAGGGGACGTTCTCTTCCAGATGGCTGAAGTCCACAGGCAGATTCAGAACCAGCTGGAAGAGATGGTGAGTCCAGCACCCAGTCTGTAGGTAGGAGGGACAAACACAGGGCGACTGGGCATCAGAGCTGAGTGCTTTGAAATGGAATCTATGTGGGACTGTGTCACAGTCCTGTGGCCACAGTGCCAGAGGCATGCCCTGGGCTCAGGACAGGAGTCAGTGGCCATGCTGAGCAGCTTGGGGTTCCAGGGTACAAGACCTGGGAGAAGGGGACATGGGCCAGGCCAGGGTCTCCAGCTCAGCTGCCCTGGACTAGGGTCTGTGAGCACTGATTCCAGGGAAGCCTTCGTGGTAACCCTAATAACCTGGCACCCACCACTGGGAGGCTAGAAAGTCAGATTTCCTTTGGACCTCAACTGTGTCGTCAGATAGTTGTCCCTGAACCAGCACTGTTGGGGGAGACCAGCCGTCAGGGTCTCATCTACAGCAAGAGGCTTCTCGTTTCCCTTCAGGTCCAAGTCAGTCAGCCTCGGCCTAAGTCACCATAAAACAGGATGGCAGAAGGACAAGGGAGAAAGGTTCTGTTTTCCTTTAGTAGTGGGTCCTTTAAGGCTGTGGACTCCCTAGATTAACAAGATTTGGGACTTCACCTACACTTAGTCCTGCAGCCTTTGCTCCTCAGGACCTGGGCCCTTCTGTCTGCCATAGTCCAGGGCTCCTGCTCACAGGCTGTGTGGGGGAGCTCAGTGCTGGTCTGTTTTCTCTCTGTGTCTAGCTGAAGTCTTTTCACAATGAACTGCTCACACAGCTGGAGCAGAAGGTGGAGCTGGACTCCCGGTACCTGAGCGTAAGTACAGCCTGCAACACACTTCCCGGGCTTGTGTGTGTTCACCTCCTTCCCTTTGTCTATGTCAGCTCCCTGCCTGGGTCTCCCACTCAGGCTGGTGCCTTGGCCTGGGTGTTCTGGTGCCCATGGCCCTGTGGATGAACCAGTGGTGTCCAGCTCCCTGTGCAGTTCTCCCAATTCTCCGTCACTTATAAAGCTGATTACAGGGCCTTGCTGCCCTTTGGAGCCCTCACAGGCACCCCAGCACATTGTATTTCACTGTCTGTTCCCATGAATGGGAATGAAATTGAGAGCCCCAGCTCCTTGGCTGCATACACAAAACCAAGTCTGTGAGTTACTGCATATATTTACTGTGCTTGGCAAGGAAGTAGAGCGGGGCTCCCATCCCCAAGTCTGGTTTTCTCTGTGGAAAGCAGACACCCGCCTGGGAGCACAGCATAAGGCTGAAGTCTTGGGCTGAGACCCCTGTTCTGATCACTGCTGATCACTTCCTGCAGTCCTGCACCAGGGGAGAGCTGAGGAGGGAGGAAGAAGGGATCTGCTGCTAAGCTGTTTCGATGGGACTCACAGGCCTCTGTTTTGTTGTGGACCTCCAGGCTGCCCTGAAGAAGTACCAGACAGAGCAGAGAAGCAAAGGAGATGCTCTGGACAAGTGTCAGGCTGAGCTGAAGAAGCTCCGCAAGAAGAGCCAGGGGAGCAAAAACCCTCAGAAGTACTCAGACAAGGAGCTGCAGGTAGGGTTGCCCGGTGCTGGGCACTCAGCTTGCTCCCCACATGGGCCCTCCTCTCAGCTTGGGACTGCACAGCTCTTTAGTGACGGGTAAAGGGAAAATCCCTCACTTGCCCACAGCCTTCATTCTCGGCCAAGCCTCTGGGCCTGCTGGCCTGGGAGTTCCATAGTGAATGCATGTGATCTCAGCTGCTGGGAAGGCTAGCCCCTTGGCCCCCTGCCTTGCTATCAGCAAAGGCTTCTGGGAGTTTCTTGGCTGCTGGAGCAGATATCCAAATTTTCCCTGTGTGCCCCTGAATTGCACCAGGAACCAGGTCCCAGATCGTTACTAATTACTGTGATTACCCACCCCTGTCAGGGGCAGCCATGGCACATGGCCCTGGGGGCTCCTGAGAGGCTGGCTTTTTGTGTTTCTCTCCCTTCCTGCCAGAGTTAGGCCATTATGCCCCATAATTACATGCATGAGGGTCAGACTCCCAGCCACTGTCTTGACCCAGAGCAGCCCCAGACACCCCTTGTCCACTCCTGAGGTCACTGCAGCACAGATAAGGAGGGAACTCAAAGAAGCACATGCAGTCATTTGTAAAGGAGACAGCTGGAAAACCCCAGCTGTTCTAGCAGAAGTTTCTAGAAGAGCCCTAGGGCAGGTTTGGGTGTAGCTCTGTGGTTAGTATCTGGCCCGGGGCTCTGCTCCTCCTGCTGATAGTCAGTGCCTCAGGCCTCTCCCTAAGACCAGGAGGACAGTTTTGTGTCCATTCCTGGTCCTGGTAAGCAGCAGGCATCCCTGGAGGAGACACTTGGAGAAGCTGGGCTGTGCCAAAGGGGAAGACAAGCCAAGCAGCTATGGATGAGAGTAATGACCCCATGCCCAGAAGAAACAGCAGCAGGAGCAGGAGGTGCAGCCCCAGCAACACTGCAGCTGCTTGGCAGAAATGGGTCCTGCCAGTTTCTGTGTGTCCAAGGTCTTTGCTGTGGTTACTTTGTTTTGGTTGCCGCCCAAAGCCAAGGCTGCTTGAGGGACTGATCCTGTTGTGGAGAGCATTTTGAGCCATCACCCTAGACAGGCTCTCCAGGGGACCTGGGGCTGAGGAGCCCAAAGTTGTACACACTTGATACTTTTTCTCTTTTCTCTGACCTTTCATGCCTTCTGAATTCTTAACCAGTGGACAGCATTTGTAGCTTTTTTATTTAAGGTTTTTTGTTTGGTTTTGTTTTTAGTTTTTAGTACAAGGTCTACAGAGTCTCACTACACAAATCAGATTTGTAGTGATCCTTCCTGTTTTTCATCCTCCCAAGTGCTGGGATTATAGGCCACGCCCAGTCTCAACCATGCCCCGGGGGTGGGACCAGCAGGAGCATTGGTAGCTTTTTGTGTCTGGTGTGGTATAGTCAGCTTGTTTGGAGGTTCATCTGCACCGTAGCGTGTGGGCATGCGATTGGCTTTTGTCTTGGGATATTGGTACCTTCCCTCCACAGCTCAGCAACTGTGGGTCACATGAGTGTGTAAGGCCCTTCCTGCTCAGGGTCAGGTCCTTGACCCATGCACAGGCCTGTGCTGTGGCGAACTCTCTAGGAACCATTGTGGGCGTGTCCAGTTGGGCTGAGATTATGACCTACCCAGGCCAGAAATGCCCATTTTCTCCCAGCTCATCGACAGTCTACTTTCCTTTTCTCCAATTCCAGCCCAGAAACTACCCCATGCCGCTGATGCCAGCCCTGTCTCTTCAGGGAATATTGACCACGCACCCCTGTCTCAACTGTCAGTGGAATTGGGGCAGAGGTGGGATCTGCCCCTGTAGCTGCCCCTGCCTTCTTCTTGCACATGGGTGGGGTTGCCTGTCTGGCTGTCTGTTGGGTGCTCCCACCTGCAGGGCCATGTGACTGTCTGGGTACTCCTTCCTCTCAGGGCTACTTTGATCATTGCCTCTTACTGGCTGGGGTCTGGGTATGGAGGCCACTTGAGAGATGTCCATTCTGTTTCCACCACTGTGGGCTTCTTGCCTTGGATAAGGCAGGGCCCTATGCCTCCCTCACCTGTCCAGATGGCTGCCTGTGAGGGTACTGTAGGCACCATGCTGAAAATGCTCAGTACACAGCTGAAGGTGTTGGTGGCAGGGGTCATTCTGATAGCCTACAGGTGTCCCTCCCACTGTAAACTCCAGGCCCTAAATTGAGAATCCTTGGGCCCCAGGACCGATGCACCAGCTGCAATCGGTGTGAAGTCAAGTTCCTGCAGCTCTGGGAGGTCAGGGCTTTGGGCAGATATGAAGAGTGAGGTGTGCTGATGCCCCAGTCTGTCTATCCTGGTGGGACAGAGCCAGAAGCTGGGGTGTTGGGGTCCGTGGTCCTCCCAGCCCCTGGGGCCTGGGCTTGAGCGAAGTGTGGTGGGGCTGTAGTGAGCAGGAGTAGGAGCAGAGAGCAGCAGCTGAGTGTGGGGTGCAGCAGTGCCCCAGATGTGCGTGCCTCTAGCTGCTGACGCCTGTGACCACACTTCCCAGGGCCACAGCCTTCTGGCTCTCTGACTTTCCCTTGGCCACATCTGATGCTGAGAGCCTTCTGGGCCTGGGGCTTCTTTTGTCCCTTGTCCTTAATGACTAGCACTATCTCTGTCCCCATCACCTGGCTCTCACTGAGCTGCCTCTTGGCTTAAGAACTCGCAGTACTTCTCTGAGCCTCAGTTTCCCTGACTGTGAGGTAGGCAGCTCTACCTTCCTCCTTCTCTGTCATGGACAGGGCCTCCCAGGCTAGTTGAAGTTGATGTCCATCTGCCATGTCACATGGGAGCTCTGGCTCCCATCCCAGGTGCCCACAACTTCTGCCTTTCTAGACCCTCTCTTCCCTGTCTCTCTATAAGAAAGAGCCAAGTGTTTGATTTCCCCACAGCCGAGTTCCTCCTGGGACGGGATGAGCATCCCACTCAGCTGCCACATGGGATCGGTTTCAAGCGCTCAACATTTCCATTTCTTGTCTCGTGTGCTGAGGATGGAACCCAGGGCCTCTACATTCTGGGCAAGGGCTCCGCCTTGGAACCATGCCCTGGCCCCTTCCCTTTGTTCTTGAGGACGGGAAGCAGAAAGGCTGCTGCAGTGGTGGAGAAGCCTCCGGCCAGGCCAGGGTACTCTTGCAGTCCCTCACTCCATGTCTGAGTTGGGCAGGGTTCTGCGGAACTGGGAGGGAGCCATCCTGGCTGTCGTGGCCGGGGGATGGGGGAGACAGCCTGCTTGGCAGCTGTGTGGGTGCCTTCCCTGCCCAGCTGCTCAGTGAGTCCTGCCGGGACCCTTTGCGTGGCAGTGCTACAGCTCCTGCCCCTCTGGAGGGGCAGAAATCCTTGGCAGCTGAGTGAGCTGGCTGCTGTTGCTCTAGGCAAGGCCCTGTCCCTCCTTGCCAGCTCTACCCCTGCTCAGCCCCATCCTCAGCCTGGCCTCAGTCCTGCATCAGCCCACCCCTGTGGCCTGCCTGGCCTGAAGGCAGGCCTGGTTACCAGGGAAAGGCCCTTTACTGGGGGAGTCCAAGACTCTCCACCTCTTGAGGGAGGGGTACTGGGGATTGAATTCAGGGCCTCATGCGTGCTGTACCCTAGCCTGGTTTCACTTCTTTTGAGACAGTCAAAGTTGCCCAGCCTGAGCGCCAGCCTTCATCCTCCTGGCTCAGTTGTCATGGTGTCATCCTTGTTATCACTGCTAAAGCCCATGCCTAGTGCAGACCACCTCTGCTGGCACCATTAGGGGAAGAGGTGCTTGAGGCCCCGCCATTCTGGTCTTCTCAGGTGTGGCTCTGAGGGCTGGACAGGAGGGCTCAGAGATGTATTTGCCAGATTTGGGTTCCCTGCTGCACCCAGGAGGTGAGTAACTGGTTTGCTAAACTGGTGGCTGCCATCACCAGTGTGTTGGGAGCCCGACAGTGCTACAGGCCCCGTCGGCCTTCTGGACAGGAGCTCACCAAGGAGGAACCCTTGTCACTCATGGGCTTAGCCCTATGACCTCAGGCATCTGCCTGGCAGAGGGTCCCCAGTACGTGCTGCCCTCCCCCATAGTACCTCTGCCATTGGACATTGCCAGAGGTTAGTCCATGTGTGACAGTGGCCAGGCCTGTGGCCCAGACTGCCCTGAGGGTAGTTGTGCCCAGCAGTCACCACCCACAGCTATGGCAGGGGAGGGAGATACAGCTGCTTGGGTAGAGGGAGAGTGAGGTTACCCAGACCCTGCCCAGAGAGAGGAATGAGACATCTCGGGCCTGCCGCATAGCCCACTCAGGTTCGGGACTGTTCTGAGCCTGTGAGGCTATGGGTTGGGATTTCCACAGAAAAAAAACTAATTTTAATTATAGGTCAGGGAACAGGAGCATAGAAGCATTTGGGCCACTAACTGGGACAAAGAGTTTTATATAAAAGGAGGGATGTGCCAGAAGACATCCTTACAGCTTGAGGGCTGTGCCTCCCCCCAATAACCCTGGGTCCCCTGTCAGTCACTGTCCAGTGGAACATGCAGAACCATTCTGAGGGACACAGCTGATGTGCTCTGTGTCCAGCTGAGGTATGAAGGGGCCATTTCAGGCCTCGGGTGTTCCCAGCCTGTATCCTCCTCATGCGGACGGGATGTGCCAAATCTCCATACTTCGTGGAGCCCAGGCAGGAGGCAGGCAGGGAGCCATGATTTAGTGGTCTGCCCTGGTCCTTGGTCCCCAGGAGCTCTGTCCCCAGGAGGTAGCTACTGGGCTGCATGGTCTCCGGGGTAGGGCCATTGTGCTGAGCTGCCCTCTGTGGGATGAGCAGGTCACTTCATGGCCACTGCTTTTCCTCCCCCTGCCTGCCACAAGACCTATCTGGGTATCCTGTGAGTAGCTGAGCTGCCCCAGTACTCAGGACTCTGGGTGATTCTGACCAAAACCTTTCCTGGCCAGCCAGGGTCCCAGGGCTCCCTGCTGAACGGTCAGGGGACATGAGGATCCCCTGTGCCCAACACTCAGAGACTCACTGGTCAAAGCCAGGAGGACCATGGACATCGT